CTTTCTTAAGGCAGTTTGGTGTCTTGACTCCAACCCACTGATTCTTGGTGGGGCTTTGGGGGGCTTTTTCCTTCTGTCATTTCACCTGGGGAAATGCTCTGTGGAGTGGCTCTTAACCTGTATTTCACACCACAGCTGTCTCATGGGTGTGGTTTTGGGTTATTTTTTTGGTCTGGTTTGGTTTGGGGAGGGTTGTTTGTTTGTTTGCTTTCTGTTTGGTTTTTTTTTTCTAGACTGTTGGCTGGACTTTCACTTGAAAAGGAAAATTTTTTTTGCTATCTTGTGAAAACAGGATGGTTACTGAGAAGGTAATATATGCAATTTCTCAGCCTGGACACATGTTCTGTCTTGGTTGCCAGCCCCCACCTGTGTAGGTGACTCCTGCTCATATCAGCTTTACGTTTGGTTTAACAGGTTTGGCAAAGGCCCGTTGGCTGCTGATGGAGCAGGTGTAAAACAAGCAAACAACAATCAAAGCAGAGGTTTGAATTGAACTTGTGTGAGATTTGTTGGAAGAAGTAAAAGTACATCTTTCCAAATATGCAACCTGTAAAATCCATAAAATGCAATAGAGGACTAAAGAATTCCTATCCTAAAATACCTATTAAAAAGTTCCTTTACAGAAGGAAGCAGTGCTTTTCAGATATGACAACTTGCAGCAAACTTTTATCTTTTAATCCAAATAGACCAGAAATGTCAGTGTAACAATGCAACTGTCTTTATTTTTTCTTTCCTCTCCAAGCAGCAGGGAATTTGGCATTCTGATTGCAAATGCCCTTAAGTCAACCCTTAGTGTGCCACATCCAGTGGTGGTTGGGTAGGTAATGGCACCTGAAGTCCGTGACAGTTTATTTTTCCCTGAGGTTTCCATCCGCAGGATCTGAAAACTCCACTGATGAAATTGAATTTTTCAAGGGGAAATGCAGGATGAGCCCTTGTGGAAGACTCACATGCAGGGTAGGATGTTTCAGCAGCGACAGCCCCTGAGCTGTGAAGTACCACGGCCAGCTGGCAGATGGAGATGTTTGCAAGCACTGAAAGCAGAGCTTGGGAAGTGTAGGTCTTGCTTAGGCCTGCAGGCAGTTAGAGAAACAACTTGTGTGCTCAGCAGGACGCTTTCTCCCAAAATCTGGACAGGTACATGCCGTCAGCACTGGCTGGCGATGTCCACTGTATCTCCCTGTCACTGATGGGGACACGCTGCCAGACCACGTCAGCAGCCAGGGTCTAGGAGCTGCTGCTGGCTCCTTGTTCTGCAGACAATTCCCTTTTAGAGTGGGAAAGGTAAATGATGGTGGTGATGATGGTAGTGAGGGTAGTGATCATGGTGGTGATGCGCTCCCCAGCGGTTGCTTTTTGTCTTTACCTCACAGGTAAAGACGTATTTTGCAGGCTAAATGTTGAACACAGCAGCTTACACAGCTATATTCTCAAAGAAAATATTTTTCTTTGGACGTGTGCACAACCTGCTGCTCTTTCAATCCTCAAAGTACTGAAATCAGGACATTTTCACCAAAACATTCAGCTGAGTCTTTCCTGAGAAACAGAAGCCCTCACACGCCAAGCACTGCCCATTTCCTTTTACCATACAACACACACTGCCCCAAGAACTACAAAGCTTATGCCTTTAGCATTTTTCCCCCAAAATCAAAAAGTACAGGGTGATGAAAAGAACGAGTGCTTCTGACTGATCAAACCAAGAAGTTTATTTCCACCTGTTAAAAGAAGTCTCTGTCTACCAGCAGAGTCCAACATAGATAAGCAGACAGACTTGACTATATTTAAATAAATTAATAGTTTATTTATAATTAAACTCAGGAAAAATGGAACTGTATACAACAAGAACTATGTACATGAAGAAAAAAGTCTTTCCACCACCTACCCCCAAAAATTCATCTGATTGGGGGGGATACTTCTGTCCTGAGAAACAGAAGTACTCAGAAATAAACGGGATGATAGTCTCTGGGAGGGAGTTCTGTTCTGCAGGTTGGGCAAGCCCTGGAATTCTCAAGGGCAACAGCGATGCACCGACTGCAGAAGAGATGGCCACACTGGGTTGACACAACCTGTCGGACACTTCGTATAATCTGGAAGAAAGGAAACCACAACATGTGTTGGGAGGAAAGGATTCGAGTTTGCTGCTCTACTGGCACCAGGAAAATAGGACTTGGAATATCTGGGATCAGTCCATTACTAGAATAAGGAACCCCCAGATCTGCCAGGGCCATCTTGGCAAGGGTTTCTCCCTCTATGTGCACCACCGAGAAGTGACTTGTGGAACTTCACAGCAAGGTCTGTGCTTCAAGCCAGCTGCCCATAGCACCCACATTAGTCAGCTGAGTTGCACAGCTCCCCCTCTGCCCTGTTACCCCTCCCACAAAGCTGAAAGGATGACAACATGTGGATCCTTACCTGTGAAAAAAAATCCATGCAGATCGGGCACCTTACAGCTCGTTGCCATTCCCTAGAGAGAACAGACCCAGAAAGAGCAGCCATTAATACCACTGGGCATCGAGGGTTACTCATATATAAAATGTCACATAATCATCTGACTGCACTGAGTAGCCACGATGCATTTCTTTTGAAGAACCCTGTATGTCTTTAACTCTCTCAGTTTGCTGCATGTAAGGAAGAGTTCAGATCTCCCTGTCCTAAAGGAAACAGTGTCTTGGTTTTCACTGGGAGAAAGATGAAGTCAGCCACCCTGCTCTAGGATTTGAAGTAATAGCAGGGAAACAAGTAAAGTGAAGCCTTCAAAGAAGCAAAAATCACTCTTTGGTAGGTCACGGGGCGTACGTACTCTGAAATTGCCAGTTCCTCGTCCAGTGATCTCCGTACTTCAGGCTCTACATAAGCTGCTTCATACTGTATGTCAGCTGCTCCATACTCCATGTCAGCCGCTCCATACTCTATGTCAATCACTTCAGATTCTACGTCAGTCACTTCAGACTCTACGTCAGTCACTTCAGATTCTACGTCAGTCACTTCAGATTCTACATCAGTCACTTCAGATTCTACGTCAGTCACTTCAGATTCTACATCAGTCACTTCAGATTCTACGTCAGTCACTTCAGATTCTACATCAGTCACTTCAGATTCTACGTCAGTCACTTCAGATTCTACGTCAGTCACTTCAGACTCTACGTCAGTCACATCATCTGCTGTTTCATATTCATCATAACTGCGCAGTACAGGGCTGTCCAACAGTTGCTGGCTTCTTGGTGTAAGATTTCTCCTTTGTTGTTCATACCCTGAAAGTTAATTTTGGTAAGTCAGATCTATCATTTACTCTCTCCTTTTCCCTGGAACTATCCTTCAAACACGTTATTGTAAATAGTTTGTAATGGGTCCTATTTGAATTGGACACTATTCAGCTGGGTTACAAGCAATCTCAAACCAAGTAGTTTCCTAAATATTAAGGCTGAACCCTTCCACACATTGAGACTATTCTGCTACAGAAACAAAACATTTGCTATAATCAGCCTACAAACAGTTAAAACGTGACCTGAGAGATTCTCAGTGTCCGCTGAGATACACTACCTGTGAATAAATATGCCCTATAAAGGGAAGGTCTCTCACACTATTCTTACTAATACGGTCTGCTGTGATCCTATGGTAAGGAATGGCAACAATTGCTGTGTGATAGGGGAGAGAGGACTGCAGTCAAGTTCCCAAGGAGCATGGTGACGTAGCACATACACAAGAAAAAGGCTTGGCAAAACACAGAGTGCTTTGTTCCAAAAGTTTCAGAAGGGATGGAATAAATGCTTAAATCTAAAACTGTACATTCTGGAGCTGCTGTGCTTCCTTGTTGCTGTATGATGCTAAACTGTTGCCCTCTTTTTGTCTGTGTTAAATGAAACCTCCCCACTCAAAGGCACTTTCTATCAAACGAGTCTTATTGAGAACAGTCCTTGGAAATTATAAAAACACTTGAAGCAGTGTCTCCCTAGAAATTGCCATCATCTCCCTCCTCAGTTAAGGTAACTTGAAAATGGAGTTTTATCACCCAAGTTCAAAGGAGATCAATTTTGAGTGGCCTAGTCTAACATCTGAAGGATCAAGACCTGCTGTTCACTTTTGAATTCTCAGAAACCGCATGCAACAATGGTCTCTGCAACTCCAGTGTCCATGTAACAATAATCCAGCACTAATCAATTAAAATTACAGAAAATGTCACCAAATTAAAGTTCTTTCCTGCAAGAGTATTCAGCTACAACTTCTGTTGCAGGGATATTCCACTGTGTCTGATAGCAGCTAGCAGACACAGATGGGATCCATTCTCTAAGACATTAGCCAGAGGCTTTAGCACTGTCCTTTGCCTTCTGCTAAATGCAGTTTCAATCCCTGGTACTAGAGACTGTTGGAAAAGACAAATAAAAACTAAGGATTACATTTCGGACAATTCCATTAGCAACTGGAAAAAGTCAACTCACCTTCAAGAAGCTTCACCAATGCATATGGGAAGGGAGAGAAAAGAAAATACAATTAGAATCTGGTGTGCATGCCTGGTGTTCCATACTAACACCAGCTCAGTGAAGCAGTTACGACACAACAGGCAAAGAATGGTAGGCTATAGACTTCTTATTTTGGTTAAGGACATTCAAAGTAATAGTCAGTCAGCTGTTGTCCTGAAAACAAGCAAGAGGGTGCTGCTAGTTCTGCTCCCACTGATGGAACGGGGTAAAAACAGAGACAGCTTAATAACATCTGAACACCCTTCTACCACTTCCTCTGTTTCAGATCTCTAATTGGATTTGACCCAGAGGTGTAACTTTCCCTCTTTCTCTCCCAAATGGGAAAATTCAGCAGTGATAGCCATAAACAATCCATGTTAGATGAACGGCTGCTGAAAAAAGGAAACCACAACAGGGGTTTGGAGTAAAGAATTCAACTTTGATGCTGCACTGGCACCAGGCTAATAGGACTTGGAGTATCTGCAATCAGTCAGTATCTGCCAGAATAATAAGGAACCCACTGATCTGCCAGTGCCATCTTGGCAAGGGTTCCTCCCTGTGTGTACACCCCTGAGAAGTGACTTGGAGGGACGTGCTAGTTGGAGCTCCAAAGCAAGGTCTGTGCTCAAGCCAGCTGCCCGTAGCATCCCACATCAGCCAGCTGAGCTGTGCAGATCCCCCTCTGTCCTCTTTGCCCTCCCATAAAGCTGAAAGGATAACAACAGGTGGATCCTTACCTCTGAGTAGTCATCTATCCAAGTTGGAGAGGTAACAGGAGCTGCTGGCCGTGTGCTAGAAGAAAAGAACCAGAAAGAACACCCAGCCATTAATTTCACAGTGCATGGAGGGTTACCAACACAGAAAGTGTCAGAAATTAAAACATCCCCTTCTCTGATCTAGCAACATCCCAGCCCAGCAACACAACCATTTCAAGAGCTTTTATGTACTTCAAGCATTTCAGTGTGTCCCAAGCCACAGTGTAAGATCCATTTGTTAATGACTTCACGAACAGAGAAGAAAGGTTTCTGCTGCATTTTGCAGCAGATTTTGTGGGCAACAACCTCTTTCAACCCTATGTCAGAAATTAGACTGTAGAAAGACACTTCATCTGTCACATACCCATCATTATCTCTTGGTTCCTCTTCATCATCACTTGTCAGTAGCACAACTGAATTATCTGCTGCACTGGAAACAACTGGGTTTCCAGCTGGGTGCTGCTGGTTCTGCTCCCACTGCTGCAACGGGGTCGAAATGGAGGCAGCTTAGAACTACCTGTAGCCCCTCCTCCCTGCTCCCCTCTTTCACTTCCCCAATTGGATTTAGGCTGGAGGTGTTTCTGTCCCTCTTTCTGCCCTAACCAGTCAAATTCAAGGGTGATATCCGTAACTACTCGTATGACATGAACAGCTGCTGAAGAAAGGAAGCCACAAGAGGGGTTGGAGTAAAGAATTCAAGCCTGGCTGCTGTGTTGGTGCCAGGCAAATAGGACTCAGATGTCTGCATTCAGTCCATTACTGCTAGAATTATCGGGAACCCACAGATCTTCCAGTGCCATCTTGGCGAGGGATCCCCCTCTACAGGCACCCCTGAGAAGTGACTTGTAGGGATGTGCTACTTGGAGCTTCAAAGCAAGGGCTGTGCTTCAAGCCAGCTGCCTCTAGCATCCCATCTTAGCCAAATGAGTTATGCAGCTCCTCCCCTGCTCCATTCCCCCTCCCACAGAAAATGAAAAGGTGGCAACATGTGGATTCTTACCCCTAGGAAGCAATCCTGGTACAGCACATTTGTAAGGGTAGCACTGGGTCTTGTGGTAGAGTGAAGAGAGCAAGAAAAAAATTCAGCTGTTAATTGCACCACTCATCAGGGGTTAGTGATACACAAATTGTCAGAAACCAAAACATCCCTTATTCTGATCTAGCTACATCCCAGCCCAGCAACACAATCATTCCAAGAACTTGTATGTACTGCAAGCATTTCAGTGTATCTCAAGCCACAGTGTAAGATCCATCTGTTAATGACTTCATGAAGAGAGAAGAAAGATTTCTTCTGGGGTTTACTGGATTTTTTGGGGTTTTTTAGTTAGTTCTCTTCCAGACAGGCCACTACATCCCAGGTCTGGAGTTTTGCACAGAATCAAGCAGAACTCAAAGCCTTGGCAAAAACCTCTTTCCACCCTATGTCAGAAATTGGACTTTTAGAAAGTTACTTTATCTGTCACATACCCATCATTATCTCTTGGTTCCTCTTCATCATCATTCACCAGTGGCACAACTGAATTGTCTGCTGCACTGGAAACAAGTGGGTGCTCCTGGTTCTGCTCCCACTGATGGAACGAGGTACAAACAAAGGCAGTTTAGGAACCATGTGAAGCCCCTCCACCCTGCTCCCCTCTTTCAGATCCCTAATTGGATGTAGGCTGCAGCCAAATCTTTTCCTTTTTCTGCCCCAAAGAGGCAAATTCAGCAGTGATAGCCATAAACAATCCATGTTAGATGAACGGCTGCTGAAGAAAGGAAACCACAATAGGGGTTTGGAGTAAAGAATTCAGCTTTGATGCTGCACTGGCACCAGGCTAATAGGACTTGGAGTATCTGCAATCAGTCAGTATCTGCCAGAATAACAAGGAACCCACAGATGTGCCATCTTGGCAAGGGTTCCTCCCTGTGTGTACACCCCTGAGAAGTGACTTGGAGGGACGTGCTAGTTGGAGCTCCAAAGCAAGGTCTGTGCTCAAGCCAGCTGCCCGTAGCATCCCACATCAGCCAGCTGAGCTGTGCAGATCCCCCTCTGTCCTCTTTGCCCTCCCATAAAGCTGAAAGGATAACAACAGGTGGATCCATACCTGTGAGTTCTCCTCTATCTGAACTGGAGAGGTAACAGGAGCTGCTGGCCGTGTGCTAGAAGAAAAGGACCAGAAAGAACACACAGCCATTAATTTCACTGTGCATGGAGGGTTACCAACACAGAAAGTGTCAGAAATTAAAACATCCCCTTCTCTGATCTAGCAACATCCCAGCCCAGCAACACAACCATTTCAAGAGCTTTTATGTACTTCAAGCATTTCAGTGTGTCTCAAGCCACAGTGTAAGATCCATTTGTTAATGACTTCACGAACAGAGAAGAAAGGTTTCTGCTGCATTTTGCAGCAGATTTTGTGGGCAACAACCTCTTTCAACCCTATGTCAGAAATTAGACTGTACAAAGACACTTCATCTGTCACATACCCATCATTATCTCTTGGTTCCTCTTCATCATCACTTGTCAGTAGCACAACTGAATTATCTGCTGCACTGGAAACAACTGGGTTTCCAGCTGGGTGCTGCTGGTTCTGCTCCCACTGCTGCAACGGGGTCGAAATGGAGGCAGCTTAGAACTACCTGTAGCCCCTCCTCCCTGCTCCCCTCTTTCACTTCCCCAATTGGATTTAGGCTGGAGGTGTTTCTGTCCCTCTTTCTGCCCTAACCAGTCAAATTCAAGGGTGATATCCGTAACTACTCGTATGACATGAACAGCTGCTGAAGAAAGGAAGCCACAAGAGGGGTTGGAGTAAAGAATTCAAGCCTGGCTGCTGTGTTGGTGCCAGGCAAATAGGACTCAGATGTCTGCATTCAGTCCATTACTGCTAGAATTATCGGGAACCCACAGATCTTCCAGTGCCATCTTGGCGAGGGATCCCCCTCTACAGGCACCCCTGAGAAGTGACTTGTAGGGATGTGCTACTTGGAGCTTCAAAGCAAGGGCTGTGCTTCAAGCCAGCTGCCTCTAGCATCCCATCTTAGCCAAATGAGTTATGCAGCTCCTCCCCTGCTCCATTCCCCCTCCCACAGAAAATGAAAAGGTGGCAACATGTGGATTCTTACCCCTAGGAAGCAATCCTGGTACAGCACATTTGTAAGGGTAGCACTGGGTCTTGTGGTAGAGTGAAGAGAGCAAGAAAAAAATTCAGCTGTTAATTGCACCACTCATCAGGGGTTAGTGATACACAAATTGTCAGAAACCAAAACATCCCTTATTCTGATCTAGCTACATCCCAGCCCAGCAACACAATCATTCCAAGAACTTGTATGTACTCAAGCATTTCAGTGTATCTCAAGCCACAGTGTAAGATCCATCTGTTAATGACTTCATGAAGAGAGAAGAAAGATTTCTTCTGGGGTTTACTGGATTTTTTGGGGTTTTTTAGTTAGTTCTCTTCCAGACAGGCCACTACATCCCAGGTCTGGAGTTTTGCACAGAATCAAGCAGAACTCAAAGCCTTGGCAAAAACCTCTTTCCACCCTATGTCAGAAATTGGACTTTTAGAAAGTTACTTTATCTGTCACATACCCATCATTATCTCTTGGTTCCTCTTCATCATCATTCACCAGTGGCACAACTGAATTGTTTGCTGCACTGGAAACAAGTGGGTGCTCCTGGTTCTGCTCCCACTGATGGAACGAGGTACAAACAAAGGCAGTTTAGGAACCATGTGAAGCCCCTCCACCCTGCTCCCCTCTTTCAGATCCCTAATTGGATGTAGGCTGCAGCCAAATCTTTTCCTTTTTCTGCCCCAAAGAGGCAAATTCAGCAGTGATAGCCATAAACAATCCATGTTAGATGAACGGCTGCTGAAGAAAGGAAACCACAATAGGGGTTTGGAGTAAAGAATTCAGCTTTGATGCTGCACTGGCACCAGGCTAATAGGACTTGGAGTATCTGCAATCAGTCAGTATCTGCCAGAATAATAAGGAACCCACAGATGTGCCATCTTGGCAAGGGTTCCTCCCTGTGTGTACACCCCTGAGAAGTGACTTGGAGGGACGTGCTAGTTGGAGCTCCAAAGCAAGGTCTGTGCTCAAGCCAGCTGCCCGTAGCATCCCACATCAGCCAGCTGAGCTGTGCAGATCCCCCTCTGTCCTCTTTGCCCTCCCATAAAGCTGAAAGGATAACAACAGGTGGATCCTTACCTCTGAGTAGTCATCTACCCAAATTGGAGAGGTAACAGTAACTGCTGGCCGTGTGTTAGAGAGAAGAGAACTTGAAAGAAAATGCAGCCATTAATTTCACAGTGCATGGAGGGTTACCAACACAGAAAGTGTCAGAAATTAAAACATCCCTTATTCTGATCTAGCAACATCCCAGCCCAGCAACACAATCATTTCAAGAGCTTTTATGTACTTCAAGCATTTCAGTGTGTCTCAAGCCACAGTGTAAGATCCATTCCTTAATTCCTTAATGAGATAAAAAAGCTTTCTGCTGGATTTTACTGGTTTTTTGGATGGGCTTTTAAAAACAGACAGGCCACTATATTCCAGGTCTGAATTTTTCACACAGAATCAAGCAGAACTCAAAGCCTTGGCAAAAACCTATTTCTACCCTGTGTCAGAAATTAGACTGTAGAAAGACACTTCATCTGTCACATACCCATCATTATCTCTTGGTTCCTCTTCATCATCACTTGTCAGTAGCACAACTGAATTATCTGCTGCACTGGAAACAACTGGGTGCTGCTGGTTCTGCTCCCACTGCTGCAACGGGGTCGAAATGGAGGCAGCTTAGGAACCACATGTAGCCCCTCCTCCCTGCTCCCCTCTTTCACTTCCCCAATTGGATTTAGGCTGGAGGTGTTTCTTTCCCTCTTTCTGCCCTAAACAGGCAAATTCAGCAGTGATAGCCATAAACACTTCATATTAGATGAACACCTCAGTGACCAGGAGTACCTTAAATGGATGTTGCAGGTAAACACTTAATATTTGAGGAGTCAAAGTCTTCCTGTCCTCTCCTTCTCTTTTTCTTTAAATCCCTGGCCTGTATGATGAGTATCTCTGGAACAACTTCCCTTTTAAATTGCATCTCCTTCTGTTACATTACCAATGACTGGTAAATGTTGTGCCCTAGTTCTGGAGCAACAGGCTCTTTTAAATTACTTTTTCACTACAAGGGATACTTGGAAGTGTTGATGTGTTCAGAGGTGCATTTGACTGGTAACTCTGTCTAAAGTGGTAAATCAGAGCTGTGTTTCAACCCTGGAGGTCAGGCTACCTAGTTAGATGCCAGAAGATAGGCCCAGGAGCACACGAGAAAACTCATTTGACTGCAAGATGGACAGAAGTGTGCCATTCATTACTTACCACAACAGAATCATCACCAGTTAGATCAATGACTTCAGGCTCAGCAGATTCGTCTGTGAGATCTATGATTTCGTCAACAGCTGAAAAAGAGAAATGGGCTGTCACTGTGGAACAGGCTGAGGTAGATTCAATTGTGCCTTGGGTCTCTTCTCTTCAGGAATGTGGCCAAAATTTCACTCCAGCTTTGCCCTCAACAGTCCACAGAGACCATTCCCAGCCCTGTTTTTTCACAGGTGGCAGTGCAAGAGGAACAGCAGCTGAACTTCTCACACAATCCTGTTGGATAACAATATCTTGCGGGAGGTACACACCAGCAGATGATTCATCTAACATAGGCTAATGTTTATCAGACAGAAAAAACAGCCAAAACAAAACCCAAAGCAGAACCAGAATCACAGAGGGTATCCTAATTTTACAGTACCATGCTGCACATGTTCCCCTGAGGGATGGGGCACAGCTAGCTTTTCCTTATCTTCTTCCAGCTTCAGAGATCTCATACTTAGTTTGCCACCCTCTGTAGTGGCAGCTGTGGCACCTGCCAGCTCATCAGAGTTCATTCAGATGTCTGAGCAGCACTTGAGGACCTTTGATACACAGCTCATCTCCCTCATTTTAGTGGAAATTCTCTCTCATTCTCTTTCACATGAGAGCATGGAATCTCTCTCATTTTAGTGGACAATGTATCACAGCTCAGTCACAAACCCAAATGGTTGTGAGAAGGCTTGTTGTTTAGAGATGCCGTACGTGGCACTTCCTAAAATCCCATGTTTCCCTTCCTCCCCAGTAAAGGGCCTAGAAACTGGCAAAAGCATATGTTCAGCTGTATGTCAAACCTCTAGAAGCAGTTTCTGTTCTTACCAAGATCAAAAGAAAGCACGCGACTTTCTTCGAGGTCTATTGGCTCTGCTGCTGAAGCTTCACCTGCACTAGAAGCCAGCAGCCTGCTTCGTTTCGAAGCTTGTCTGGAATTAACGGCTCCTCCACGGCGCTTTCGCCGATTCTAAGAGAGAACAAAGCCTTAGCATTTCGTGTGGGAGTAATATTAACGGGGCCCTCAGTTTTGCAACACCAGTGAAAGTACACGAGGACACAGAAAACAACTCCACAACGGCTGGAATACACATTGAATGGTGCTCTGGGTCATTCCTACCCGAGCCCATTGCATCAAGGAAAAGACATCACCCCTGACCTCTTACCAGTTGCCTCACCAGGAAAAAGCCTATCCCAGTGGCTTGCAAATAAGAAGACTAGTTCACAATTCTATCAGGGTGTTGCTCACACTGTAAGCATTTCTGAGCTATTGCTAGCACCCCAAGAGATTCAAAACCTTCAGTATCCCAGAACATGAAGTTACATAAAGTTTTAACAGGCTTATCTTCCCGTGCACTTGCTAAAAACTCTTGAAATCCTTTCTAGAAGTACCCCAGAAAATATGTTTCAGAAATCAGATTTGCACTGAGTAGTAAAGTACTTACTGTGTTCATGGTGTCTTGTGATCTAAAACCACTGGAAAAGTCAGTGGGACAAACACCAAAAAAGGAATTTCAGGGAAGTTACAGCAATCGATCCCTGGTCTGTCCCTGCTGGGACGTGCTAGTTGGAGCTCCAAAGCAAGGTCTGTGCTCAAGCCAGCTGCCTGTAGCATCCCACATCAGCCAGCTGAGCTGTGCAGATCCCCCTCTGTCCTCTTTGCCCTCCCATAAAGCTGAAAGGATAACAACAGGTGGATCCATACCTGTGAGTTCTCCTCTATCCAAGTTGGAGAGGTAACAGGAGCTGCTGGCCGTGTGCTAGAAGAAAAGGACCAGAAAGAACACACAGCCATTAATTTCACAGTGCATGGAGGGTTACCAACACAGAAAGTGTCAGAAATTAAAACATCCCCTTCTCTGATCTAGCAACATCCCAGCCCAGCAACACAACCATTTCAAGAGCTTTTATGTACTTCAAGCATTTCAGTGTGTCCCAAGCCACAGTGTAAGATCCATTTGTTAATGACTTCACGAACAGAGAAGAAAGGTTTCTGCTGCATTTTGCAGCAGATTTTGTGGGCAACAACCTCTTTCAACCCTATGTCAGAAATTAGACTGTAGAAAGACACTTCATCTGTCACATACCCATCATTATCTCTTGGTTCCTCTTCATCATCACTTGTCAGTAGCACAACTGAATTATCTGCTGCACTGGAAACAACTGGGTTTCCAGCTGGGTGCTGCTGGTTCTGCTCCCACTGCTGCAACGGGGTCGAAATGGAGGCAGCTTAGAACTACCTGTAGCCCCTCCTCCCTGCTCCCCTCTTTCAGTTCCCCAATTGGATTTAGGCTGGGGGTGTTTCTGTCCCTCTTTCTGCCCTAACCAGTCAAATTCAAGGGTGATATCCGTAACTACTCGTATGACATGAACAGCTGCTGAAGAAAGGAAGCCACAAGAGGGGTTGGAGTAAAGAATTCAAGCCTGGCTGCTGTGTTGGTGCCAGGCAAATAGGACTCAGATGTCTGCATTCAGTCCATTACTGCTAGAATTATCGGGAACCCACAGATCTTCCAGTGCCATCTTGGCGAGGGATCCCCCTCTACAGGCACCCCTGAGAAGTGACTTGGAGGGATGTGCTACTTGGAGCTTCAAAGCAAGGGCTGTGCTTCAAGCCAGCTGCCCGTAGCATCCCACATCAGCCAGCTGAGCTGTGCAGATCCCCCTCTGTCCTCTTTGCCCTCCCATAAAGCTGAAAGGATAACAACAGGTGGATCCATACCTGTGAGTTCTCCTCTATCCAAATTGGAGAGGTAACAGTAACTGCTGGCCGTGTGCTAGAGAGAGGAGAACTTGAAAGAAAATGCAGCCATTAATTTCACTGTGCATGGAGGGTTACCAACACAGAAAGTGTCAGAAATTAAAACATCCCTTATTCTGATCTAGCAACATCCCAGCCCAGCAACACAATCATTTCAAGAGCTTTTATGTACTTCAAGCATTTCAGTGTGTCTCAAGCCACAGTGTAAGATCCATTCCTTAATTCCTTAATGAGATAAAAAAGCTTTCTGCTGGATTTTACTGGTTTTTTGGATGGGCTTTTAAAAACAGACAGGCCACTATATTCCAGGTCTGAATTTTTCACACAGAATCAAGCAGAACTCAAAGCCTTGGCAAAAACCTATTTCTACCCTGTGTCAGAAATTAGACTGTAGAAAGACACTTCATCTGTCACATACCCATCATTATCTCTTGGTTCCTCTTCATCATCACTTGTCAGTAGCACAACTGAATTATCTGCTGCACTGGAAACAACTGGGTGCTGCTGGTTCTGCTCCCACTGCTGCAACGGGGTCGAAATGGAGGCAGCTTAGGAACCACATGTAGCCCCTCCTCCCTGCTCCCCTCTTTCACTTCCCCAATTGGATTTAGGCTGGAGGTGTTTCTTTCCCTCTTTCTGCCCTAAACAGGCAAATTCAGCACTGATAGCCATAAACACTTCATATTAGATGAACACCTCAGTGACCAGGAGTACCTTAAATGGATGTTGCAGGTAAACACTTAATATTTGAGGAGTCAAAGTCTTCCTGTCCTCTCCTTCTCTTTTTCTTTAAATCCCTGGCCTGTATGATGAGTATCTCTGGAATAACTTCCCTTTTAAATTGCATCTCCTTCTGTTACATTACCAATGACTGGTAAATGTTGTGCCCTAGTTCTGGAGCAACAGGCTCTTTTAAATTACTTTTTCACTACAAGGGATACTTGGAAGTGTTGATGTGTTCAGAGGTGCATTTGACTGGTAACTCTGTCTAAAGTGGTAAATCAGAGCTGTGTTTCAACCCTGGAGGTCAGGCTACCTAGTTAGATGCCACAAGATAGGCCCAGGAGCACACGAGAAAACTCATTTGACTGCAAGATGGACAGAAGTGTGCCATTCATTACTTACCACAACAGAATCATCACCAGTTAGATCAATGACTTCAGGCTCAGCAGATTCGTCTGTGAGATCTATGATTTCGTCAACAGCTGAAAAAGAGAAATGGGCTGTCACTGTGGAACAGGCTGAGGTAGATTCAATTGTGCCTTGGGTCTCTTCTCTTCAGGAATGTGGCCAAAATTTCACTCCAGCTTTGCCCTCAACAGTCCACAGAGACCATTCCCAGCCCTGTTTTTTCACAGGTGGCAGTGCAAGAGGAACAGCAGCTGAACTTCTCACACAATCCTGTTGGATAACAATATCTTGCGGGAGGTACACACCAGCAGATGATTCATCTAACATAGGCTAATGTTTATCAGACAGAAAAAACAGCCAAAACAAAACCCAAAGCAGAACCAGAATCACAGAGGGTATCCTAATTTTACAGTACCATGCTGCACATGTTCCCCTGAGGGATGGGGCACAGCTAGCTTTTCCTTATCTTCTTCCAGCTTCAGAGATCTCATACTTAGTTTGCCACCCTCTGTAGTGGCAGCTGTGGCACCTGCCAGCTCATCAGAGTTCATTCAGATGTCTGAGCAGCACTTGAGGACCTTTGATACACAGCTCATCTCCCTCATTTTAGTGGAAATTCTCTCTCATTCTCTTTCACATGAGAGCATGGAATCTCTCTCATTTTAGTGGACAATGTATCACAGCTCAGTCACAAACCCAAATGGTTGTGAGAAGGCTTGTTGTTTAGAGATGCCGTACGTGGCACTTCCTAAAATCCCATGTTTCCCTTCCTCCCCAGTAAAGGGCCTAGAAACTGGCAAAAGCATATGTTCAGCTGTATGTCAAACCTCTAGAAGCAGTTTCTGTTCTTACCAAGATCAAAAGAAAGCACGCGACTTTCTTCGAGGTCTATTGGCTCTGCTGCTGAAGCTTCACCTGCACTAGAAGCCAGCAGCCTGCTTCGTTTCGAAGCTTGTCTGGAATTAATGGCTCCTCCACGGCGCTTTCGCCGATTCTAAGAGAGAACAAAGCCTTAGCATTTCGTGGGGGAGTAATATTAACGGGGCCCTCAGTTTTGCAACACCAGTGAAAGTACACGAGGACACAGAAAACAACTCCACAACGGCTGGAATACACATTGAATGGTGCTCTGGGTCATTCCTACCCGAGCCCATTGCATCAAGGAAAAGACACCACCCCTGACCTCTTACCAGTTGCCTCACCAGGAAAAAGCCTATCCCAGTGGCTTGCAAATAAGAAGACTAGTTCACAATTCTATCAGGGTGTTGCTCACACTGTAAGCATTTCTGAGCTATTGCTAGCACCCCAAGAGATTCAAAACCTTCAGTATCCCAGAACATGAAGTTACATAAAGTTTTAACAGGCTTATCTTCCCGTGCACTTGCTAAAAACTCTTGAAATCCTTTCTAGAAGTACCCCAGAAAATATGTTTCAGAAATCAGATTTGCACTGAGTAGTAAAGTACTTACTGTGCTCATGGTGTCTTGTGATCTAAAACCACTGGAAAAGTCAGTGGGACAAACACCAAAAAAGGAATTTCAGGGAAGTTACAGCAATCGATCCCTTAGATTCCTTAGGTAGAACAGGCTACAAAGTCCTGATTTCTAGGAATCAGAGAATGATGTTCTTCCAAACCTATCAGAAAAGAAGAGAGGAGATTACCTATCTGGAATGCCTGTTCTCTTAAATACCCACACATACTCTAAGATTCCCTTTCCCGAGTCACCAGTTTCTGCCCAAAGCTAGAGGGGAAATCTATGAGTCTGGTACTTGAGTCCGGTACTTGAGTCCCAGACACCTGCAGCTGGACCTGAAGCCCAGAACAGCCCCACAGCATCCGAAACATTTTCAAAGATCATCTACACTCACCTGTACAGTTAGTTGAGAATTTTTCTTGAAAATTATCAGCAAATCGCCTTCTGTTCCCACCAGGGACAGAGAAGACAGAGGCTCTGCACCTGCTTCCCAGCAGAGTATCCGCCAACTGCCAACTGTCGATGGAGTGTTGGGCTCCTGACCCCTCCGTGCGGAAGCCCGCATGGCAACCGTTTGGTAACATTCCATGGTCCGGTAGCCGGTGACCTCTTTGCACCCTCGTGGAGGCCCAGAATGCTTTGGCTTGGAAGGGACCTTGAAGATCATCTGGTTCTAACTCCCCTGCCATGGATAGGGACATCATCCACTAGACCAGGGTGCTCAGGGCCCCATCTAGCCTGGCCTGGAATAGCGCCTTCCAGGGATGGGGCATCCACAGCTTCTCTGGGCGGCCTGCTCCAGTGTCTCGACACCCTCACAGCTCTTCCTAACATCTAATCTAAATCTTCCCTCTTCTGGTTTCAAATCGTTCCCCCTTTTCCTCTCGCTGACTGCCCATGCGAAGAAATCGCTCTCTGCCTTTCCTATAGGCCCCTTCAGCCACTGGAGGGCCGCAGTGAGGCCTCCCCCGGAGCCCGCTCCTGTCCAGGCTGGACATGCCCGGCTCTCCCAGCCTGGCTCCATAGGAGAGGTGCTCTGGCCCTCTGAGCATCTTTGTGCCCGCTGCTTCCTTGCCCCTTCGTGCCGGCCCGGCGGGCACATCCTGCTTGTGCCGGGTCAGAGCCGGGCGCAGCCTCCGGGCGAGGCCTCACGAGGGCAGAGCAGAGGGACACGTCCCCCTCCCTCCGCCTCCCGCCCGAGTAACGCTGCAGCCTTTCGGTGGCTAAAGAAACCCCACCGAAACCTCCCCTCCCCCGTGACAAATCAAACCCTTTCTTAACCTTCTTCCTCCGGGTTTATTACTCTGTTGTTGAAAAGACTCGTTTTAAATTTAACCCTGATTAAAAGCAATTAAAATGACACCAAACTTCCCTCTGCCCCCCACCCCCCCCAACTGGTGAAAATCTAACAATTTAGATGCTTATTTCAAGTCTCTAAAGTCTTGAAGTTTTCAAGTGTTCAACTGTTCCTCTGCTGAGCGTTTCACAACAGGGTTAGGAGGAAGTTTGCTGTGCTTCTGGGGACAGCACCTTCCCCCCCAAGGCCCTGCTCTGCTGTGAAAGATGACACGGGAAAAAAAGTGAAATTAAAATCCATTTTCCTTCTAGCCAGTCTGCCACTGGACCTGCATTCAAAGGGGTTGGCTGGAGCTCTTGAGAGTGGCAGCAACCCTGTCTCGGCCCTGCTGGATGCGGGATGCTCCTCAGCTTCCGATCCCATGGGCACTCTCGGGGGTGGGGAGGATGGTGGCAAGTTGTCCAACACTGCGGATAGCATAAGGATATTTTCAGATCATGCTCTATGTGAGGAGGTTCATTTCTTACAAAAATTTCTCTGTTATTACAACTGTTGCTTTTAGGCCAAAATGTTGAGAGTTTAAGGATGGTTGGGGATGACTTCCCCATTTTTCTCAGTCCTGAGTCTGGGAATTGAAGGAAACTCATTTCAGTCATCATATTCACATCCTTCATTCCTCATATTTGTTGCTGGTTTCAGGTACTTAATTATTCATATCTTAAATATATATTTGGAATTGCTCTAGCATCTTCACATTTGTATATCAAGCATTAAATCTCCTTTAGGATTTTTTTTTTATCTAAGCCCTTTGGATCCAAGATCTTTGGAAAGCAAGTGTTTAAACTGGATTTACTGGAGTATGAAACATCCCATGTATTAAGGCAGGGACCCTGTCCACTCACACTCGAGGTGCAGCGGAGGTTGGCTGAGTGGAACCGGCACCACTTGTATTTCAGGGTGGGACTGGATGGCTTTTAGCAGGAATGTGTTATTAGGGGCAAGGGAGGAGAGAGCACTGAGGAAAAGGAGGGGTAGCTTTTAGTAAGTTGAACATTTGAAGGCTATCAGGCTTGATCTTCCTCAATGCTGCTAATGATCACAGCAGGGGGCTGAAAAAATGTTTCTTGTAAGACCCAACCCTTTTTAACTAAAGCCACTATTGAAAATACTCATCACTCAGTGGTGGAAGGGAGGGAAATCTCTTGCCCCTTCTCTGTGCATCCTACAAAAGCTGAAAAGGCCACATACCTGTTCTATCTCCTTCCATGTGGACCAGCTTTAAAGCAAGGCATAAAACCTCTGAAATACCCCTTGCCTTTCCATTTCATGAAGAAGAAGTTTACATCTCTTAACTTCCAAAAAGAAAAGGTTAATTATAGCCAACAGTGTAAACTAAGCCCAGATTGAGCTGGCTTCTATATTAATCACCCCGGAAAAACAGCATTGGGATTTTCACTGATGGCTATGGTTTGCCACCATTTTTTGTCAGAAGAAAGCAACTCATAAGGGAGAAATGCATGGTTCACTGGCCAGAGGTTTTCAGCTCTGTACTCTCCCAAATCAGGGGTACCCTGGAGATCAAAGCAAGGGTCATAAAATAATTTAAGAAGGGTGAATGTAGTATAAGATGTCATATACGGACATAGCCTGCTGCAGAGTGACATATGGTGGGTTATTGATGAGAGGGAGCGTGACACCTGGCTCCCCACACAGCTCAGCACAGGGATAGGATTGCACTCCCCAAAGCAACCCTGCACAGCAGTCCTTCTAAATCCACCATAAGGATGCAGGGAAATAGGCAAGGATTACCAAAAGAAGCCCCGAAAAGATGATAATATTCACTTATAATAATTTTTACTAGTCCCACTGAGAATTGCATTGCAATTCATGTGTCAAATTGTGCCTTTGCTTGACTATAGCAATGGTTGTGACCTCGGAATACATTTCCCAATCTCTTAACGGGGAAGTGCTGGTGGATGGTCTATTAGAGAAATACATATTGAGACAGTTTGAATTAAGTAAAAACATTTTTGAAGCCCTTGGTGGGAGGCAGTAGTGAGTGGCTTGTTCTGCAGAAGAAAAACTCAGGTAGGTTTCTTATTGCTGAGACTGATTTGCACCCTTCTCAATGGCACTAAGTGCTTCTCTTGGCAAAGGATGGAGGCTTTGGAGCATCTTCCATCCTCCAAAAATCTGGATGTGCTCAGGGTCCCTCCAGTTGCCCAGGTTTGGCTGTCAGCTTAGCAGGAAGGCTGAGCACTGGGAGGAGGGGTTTGCTGGGGTCTGGGTGGTATTTCAGTCCATCTCAGTCCCTGCTCCTTGGCACGGGATGATGGCACTAAATAACTACAAGAGGTGAGGGGAAAAATCATTATTCTTCTATAGCTGTGTTCCTCTTCTTTTGAGAGGTACTGCTTTCAGCTTCTCCCTCCGGCAGTCTGCTTTTGCCCTCTTCTGAAAAAACATGGTGTTATAAGGGGGACTTGTGCCTCTCCGGGCTGCCCCTGCTGTCCCTGCACAGCCATGAAAGTATCTGTGTGCTGAGCAGAGCTATTGGTGATGGGCACCACTTGGCCTGCTCTGCACAGTCGGTGTCAAGCTCTGTACCTAAAAACATACAGTTCAAAACTCCTTTTTAAGCTCAGTGCTAAAGGTTGGTGCCCAACACCCTGTTTGCGGTACCCAGCTTCTAAACCTGTGAAAGATGCCTTTTGGACTAATGCTTGCCCCTTCAAATGGTTCCTCAAAGCTCATAATTGCTTTTTAGACTTCTTTTAAGAAGCATTGTAGCAGTTCTTTGCAACTTCGTTGGCCTGAAGCAGTAGCATGATAGTGAAATTGGGCAGGAGGAGATCACAGCTCTGGAAGAGGTAAGGCGGCTTCCTCAAGGGGTTTAATACCCAAAGGCTGAGTTCAGCAGGTTTCCTCAATGACGATGCTGCTTCAAGATACATCACTGATGGCATGCTTCTCCAGGGAGCGGCAGGAAGCAGAATCCTCCTGGGAGAACCCTGCTCGCTGGCTGTCTGCATCCAGATCGCTCTCATCTTCCACAGTGGCATCATACATGACCTGTGTTAGAGAGCAAAACAAGAGCCACTGTCACTCCTGGGAAATTATCTATCAACAAGTGCTGCCCTACTGCACTAAAGCTGCTTAGGCTGAGGGGACACTCAAAGCTTGCATGGTAAATCTCTGCCTGGAAACACTAACTTTTATGGAGTTACATGAACCCTTCACATTATGAGAAATTAACATTTGATCCTGTCCTCAGATTTCATGTGTGTGAGTACATCATTGCAGTGTTGCATATCTTGCAGCAGCAGGCTACACTCTTGCCTTGGCACCATCAACAGCCCCTGATTTGGGGTATCCAGACAAGGGAAAATAGATTCCTTCGCTCATGCCTGCTTTCCCCTCACCAATTCTTCTCAAAGCTGACTCCCATAAAACAACATGTCCATCTTCAAGTTCACTACCCATTTCCAAAACCATGGGGACCACTGCTCAGTGCTGTTTACCTTTTTTGCATCTTTGCGGAGTTTGATAGACTTCACCAGTGCAGCCTTTGCCCTCATCCTGTAGGCCACGCTGTCGCCTCTGCCGGCGTTGTCTCCCCGGGTGAAAGGGAATGGGGGGAATGGTACAGTGACTGGAATGTCTGTGGGAAAACCCGTGACAACCTCATCGGATTCATCCGTGTCATTGGAATCATTATCGTCATCATCATTGTCATTCACATCTTCATGGCTTTTGCTTGACACATCAGGAAAGTGCTGGAAAACATTTATTATGCATCAGGCAAATGAACACAGATGTGAGATGTGCAGACTAGTATCTGTCCTGCTAGCCCAGGGCTTATGCAGTTTTGGGGAGCTATGTGCAGGCATGTCTTTGAATTCACCTCACCCTGCCTACGGAGGAGATGCTATTTAGGGAGAGATGCTACTGCAAGAACTGCACTTGAATGAGGAAAATTGGTGTTGCTACACACTGGCTGCCCTGCAGCACTCGACTGACATAGTGTCGTTCAAAACACTTACCGGTTCCACTGGGACATCCACGCTTTCTTCTGAAGAGTAAAGGGTCTGAAAGCAATATAAACCTCCCTATTAGTTCAAAAAGGCACGTACAGTAGAGCTGATTAGCGTGTTGACTATTGTTTAAGCACTTAATCCTAACTTGTACATCTTGTCATGGAAAGATGCTCCTGCTTTCTCTTCTGGCTAGCTGCCCATACCTGCTGAGGTGATGCCAGGTCAGTCTGTGTGTGCTGCTGACTCTCCCAAGACTGAGAATTCCCACGGTCATGGTGATATCTGTGCAAGTGATGGCCCCTGGGGTCCTTTGAGAGAAAATAAAGGGGGGGAGACGGAGGTTAATCCACAAAGCATCAGGCAAAGCTGCCTGCATCACAACCTCTGTTTTCAGGCAGAGGTGGCATCTGCAATACATACTCCTTTTGCACAGGATGTGCCCTCAGCTATTCAGTGCAGTAGGAAGAGGACTCAGAAACAAGCCATGATGAACATTATACCCAAAGAATACAATATAGAAGATGTGCCTCTGCCATTGGCAGAGCCTGAGGAATTTCAGGTCAGTTTCTCCAGCTTGTTTTTGTTGAGTGGAATTTGGAGTTATATCTAACAATCATTGTTTCTGCTAATTCTCGGGTCCTTTTCCCAAGGGTGATTTATCTCCCTCATCATGAAGACTCTAAACTAAGTGCAGTAGTTGATTCTCAGAGCAAAGAATTGATTTTACATGGGTAGCAGCTGGCAGTGGAGTATAAATCAAATAGCTATATACAAAATTAATACCGTTCACTTACATCACTCCAAAAAATCATGGGAATTGGATTAAAGTGCTCTTCCAACACCAAATATTGTCATCTGATCCACACTAACAAATGTGGGCTGTAGTAGTTGTGCCATGCTATAGTCCTTTTCTCTTTTTAACTGGCAACTAACACATTTTTCATTAAGACAAAAGGTTTGCAGTGCTGGTCCAGAGATAGAACTAATGAAAGTCCTCAACCAGGACACCAGACACAGGAAAAAGTCTATGAAACTGGCTCCTAACAGCCAGGTGAGGACATGCCCTGCAAGCATCTACAATCATAAAACAAGTACCAGAAAATATGTATTAGAAGAAACAAAAAAAAAAAATCAAAAAGTATTTATTAAAGATAATTAATAGAAAGACAAAAGGAACTTACATATTTTTCTTCGGAGCTGGCAGAAATGGCATGCTGCTTGGATTTACTCACCTTGAAGGGAGAAAAGAAAAAAGCATTTATCAGTATTTCTCACTAAGATGCAAAGAAAATAATACAAGTGATTGGTGATCCACATTTGTGATTTACTCACTGGCCATGCAGCGGTGATGCTGATAAGGCATAAACACAGAACTGCCACCTTCATTGTGATGTTTTACCTAGAAAATATTTTGGAACAGTGAGTCAACAAGGTAAAGTACCACAAAAATGCCATAGGTTTTTCCTTTTTCCCAGTGTACTTCACTGTGCTGAGAACAGCTCCCTGCTATGGACCCAACCTGCACATACTAATTTTTGTCTTTTGTCCTCCATCACCACCGCACACCCAGCTGGTTTGTCATGACTTAGCTACTCAAAAGCTGCAATAATTTTTAAGAGGCTCTGAGAAGAGCTGAGCAGCTGGTGAGAGTGGCCACATTGAGAAGGTGAACTGAATCCTGTCACCTAATGACTTGCACAGGCAAAGGAAAAGCTTTGTGATAGCCAAAGTGTTCTCAATATCAGCTTTGGTTTATCTTCATTCCTTTAACGTATTTTTTTTCAGAAGAGACAGCATAAAGCCAACTCAGTTTGGATTCTCTTGTCAGCAATTTTAAAACTAGTTTTCAGGGTTATTAACTTGAGTTTCTGAGTAAAGTGATATGAACATAAACTGCTTTTATTGATAGACCTTTATTTCCCCCTCCAGAAGTTTGAACAAAATAACCTGTGTTTCCAAACAAGAGATAACGTGAAATATCTGCTTCCATTGCAGTTTTAGCAATTTAATAAATGACTAATTCCTGCTGAAATTAGGAGAGTGCTGAGCTACAGTAAATTTTGGTGCTTACAGACCAGTTCCCAGGATATGGAACATCCCTGAGAAATTGAACCAATTCACTGATGAACAAGAGTCATTTAAAACTTTGGTAAATCATAGCAGGAAAAAAAAGGCTACTTAGGACATATTGAAAATGCATTAGTAAGGCTGGCCCTGAGACAGGACACTCTACTAGAGGTATTGCAATTTCAAGTTACACAGAGAAGGATGAGTGTCCCATCCATTCAGGATTGTGCAGCACAAACTGTGAGCCTGCCAGAAAAAACAAGGACACTGCCAGGCAGTGGTTACATGAGGGAGAAAGCTTTCTGTGTTCAAGCACCAGCTTTGAGTTTGCAGCACATGATTCAGTGGCAGAGTTTTCAATAACCTCCTCCTGACATCTATAAGCATGCAGGTTTAAAATTGTCATTATGTATAATACCTTGCATTGCTAAAGCAACCTTGCTCCTATAAAAACACACCTTTTTCCACAGAGCAACATCAAATGTCCCTGCCCAGTGAAGCAATTTTCAAAGATCTCCTGCTCAGTGTTTCCTTGACTAAAGCTGCAGACAGATTAGCACATGTCAGGTAGTAAAAGCAAAAAAATTACCTTTTCTGGTGCTGGAGGAGTCAGCTGCAGCAAGAGCACTCCTAGTGATCCCAGCAGCAGCTCAAGTCAGTTGGCTCCCAGAAGCTCTGTCTTTCTCCCCTTGTCCCCTGACTGCCTGACATCTCTGACCTTGGGGAATTTAAACCCTGTCCCAAGCACAGCCACCAATCCCCATGTGGCGGAAAAAGATGAGGTCATGAGGCTCCTGGCCGCTGTCCTGCCACGTTCTCCTACACTTCCTCTTTGGCTTTGTGGCTTTGGAAGCAAACAAAAACTACTCTATGGTTAAAACATTACTTATGGGCGAGATCATTAACCAGCAGGTCTGTTGTATGCACAGCAGTTGGTATCGTGTAGGAGGGCTTCGGGGCACATCTGTCCTCCTTTTGTGAAAAGGCAGAGCCCAGTTTCCCAGAAACCTGTTGTGCCCTGCTCTGTAGGGAGTAGGACTATGTAATGCTTTCAGGCAGTCCGAGTTGCTTGTGTTTGGCTTTTCCGAGACGCTGACTGTGGAGAAGGTTAAGCAGTTTAGTGGTTGAGTCACTAGTACAAAACCAAACCTACAGATTTCTGGTCCAGAACACCAAAACAACACACTATAGAGAAACAGCCCAGCTGGAGCCAAGTATACGTGCTATCGCATTACACACCCCCGGTGTTTATTTACAAAGCAAGCCAAGTCCGACTGCCATCCCTCCTTAAACATGTACTTGTCATGCCCAGAAATTGTCCCGGGATCAAGTCTCTGACGGGAGGAGGGTGTAAAGCAAGCCATGTGTGCAGGACCTGCAGTCAGCAGGTTTCTCCAGCATATCTTCCAAGAGGTGAAACGCAGGTGTGAAGGGCTTGACCACAGCTGCTGTGGGCCCTGAGATACTTGAGACAGCGGTGGGTTTTCAGCACCTCTGTCACAGGCAGAGTGGGAGCTTCAGACAAAGTTTATTAGAGAAAGTATATCATTAGAGAAGCCCTCCCATTGAGTTACGAGGTGGGGAAAGAACCCCATTGCTTTCTAAGCTCCTTCTCGGAGAGGAGCCTACATGCACCTGGATCCAGTCTTAGCCCTAGACTTTCCAGTGGTTTATATTGACCTTTATACAACTTTGTCCTGCAGGATTAAGGATGGCAAACCAAATATATTTATACAAATAAAAGGAATGATTTATTGAAATGGGTTACAGTAATGATAATGATAGAAAAAAAGGAGTTTTGTCAGAATTACTTACCACACAATATGGATGGATAGCTTTAACTATCAGTATAGCACACTATTTTTCAAGCAATATTGAAGTAATTGTAATAAAACAATTGAAGTAATTATATTAAAGCTAGCAAAACAATTACTAAGTGGAGGTTGGTGTTACTCACTCATAGCAATGACCAGGGGCAAATCTCTTTTGCTCAGTCTCGAGGACTAACCTTGAGGGGCGTTCCCACTCCAGGGAGAAATCTCCACACACATTCAGAGAAGGGGTTTGTTAGGAGATCCTACCGTTCAAAAGTCTGGGCTTTTAAAGTATAGAGTGATTGACTGTCAGTCATATGTAATTTTTTTAGATTATGTGTTGTCACCTTACTCAGCAAAATATGTTTTGTTGCTGACAAAGGTGTTAGCAACTCTCTAGTTTCTTCTGCTTCACACTCCTGACTCTCAGTTTTCTATCAGGGCCTGCACATCCTTGCTGCTCCCAGCCTCAGTCAGGGAGCCTCTGTCTTGCATGTCCTTGTGGTGGGGTCTGATAGTTTGGTCAAGCTGGTCTCAGCACTCTTCAACACTAAAACCAGCAGACCTTCCTCAATTGAGCTTATCAATGATCAGGTGACTCTCTTTGCTGAGGTCGTCACTGATAAACTTGTAAGACAAATTTTGAGCTGCTGTATTTCCACTTAGACAGAGTGTGCTGCTACAGCCTGTGCTGTGCTTTTCCTCCCAGAGAGTACCCCCATCATCCCTCCTGGGGGACATCAGTGGTCACTGTAGAAGAAAACACCTTTACAGGGACTTTGCAACGTCACACAGCTGCCCTGCACTCCATGGTCCACAGGCCACAGCACTGCTCTAAATGGGGTCAGCACCCCCCGAATTCCATGGGAGCACTTCCAAGTTTTGAACTGGAATGGTCCCAGGACTGTGAAGACTACCAAGGGGAGGAAAGTGGTGGCATAAACGGCCCAAAGAGGAGAATTTTCTCTAAAGGCTGGGGAACTTGATAGTAGTACCTGGAGTTGCATCCTGAAGCCTCTGCTAGCTTTTTACAGTTTCACAAAAACTATAAACTCTAAACGTCCCCACCTCCAGAAGAAGAGAGAGTTTAATTCTACTTCAGCAGGGCACAAGTCACAATGCAAGGCAGGTGAAAGTCCTTAATTTTCTGAAAACACTTCTGTGTCCTCCAAGAGGGGAAACAGCATGAACATTAATAACCATTTCCCAAAACCCCACCGACATTGATTTGCACTGTTTGTGCAAGGGGTCGAAGCCCTCTAACCTACGGCTCCAGGGCAGCAGGTTACAGCATCTGGAAAACACAGCCCTGCCTTTCTCCTTGTGGCTTTGCTGACAACAGTCTGTTTTGACAGAGCAGGACTGGGTCAGGTGTGATGCTTTGCCCACATGCTCAGCTTTCTATCTCTACACAGGTCTTAAATTAAACCCAAAGTATAAGGAGGAGAAATCCTGACACTGCAAAAGTCAGCGGGGTTGCTGCGTCCTTGGGGCGCACAGGAAACCAAGGGAAGTTGTAACTGCTGGTCATCTTTTTAGAGGCTAATATTGGGATAATGTTCACTTCTCCCCTTTAATTTTTATTTTTTAATTGTTCACCACTGCATGGTGTTTGTGGCTTATCAGAAACTATTTGCCAGCAGCTGCCTTACCAGAAATATTTGGCAGACAAACTTGTTGCATCACCCTCCAAAACTGCCTCTCGCCACCTCTGAGCATCACTGCCCCATCAACTGCTACCATGCCATTTGCATTCATCTCTCATATTAATCAAAACTGGTCTGTGTTTAGCTAAGCTGACCTGCAATTTCCAGCACTTCATAGCCAAGTGCCAGAGAAATACTGAAAACTTCTGGAGCAAATCCTCCCTCTCTTTCGAGGCAGCTAATAGAAGTGGTCTCTGACAACCTCTGTGCACTTGCATGGGAAAAACACGTCCCTGTCAGCATCTAAAAATGATGACCCCAAGCCTCTGACAGGTGAGCCTACAGCATGCCAGGTCTGGGCTCTCAATCATGTTACTTTTCTTGATTATGTCTGTTGTGTTAAGCAATACTATGAAACTACACAAAACATCTGACACAGAACTAAGAAAATTAGCCCCAGTCACTTCATATGCATAAAAAGGCTACTGGGGCATGAGATAATCCTGGGCTGGTTTAGCTGGAAATCTGGAACTGCTTTCCCTGCTAAAATGAGCCTGGAGACAAAAAGGTGCTGAGGGGAGAAGATAGGTCCCACACCACATTTATAAATCTACTGCCATGCAGATAATCTTCCCCAAAACAACTGGGCTTGACAAAAATGTTGCATCCATCCATTTTATCACAGCTACCTCATAACAGAGATGTGAAATGAGCTAGGTTACAACTACTTGTATTGACAATAACATGCCAACCTAAACCATAATACTCTCAGCTTTTGCTCTCCTTTCTTAAGGCAGTTTGGTGTCTTGACTCCAACCCACTGATTCTTGGTGGGGCTTTGGGGGGCTTTTTCCTTCTGTCATTTCACCTGGGGAAATGCTCTGTGGAGTGGCTCTTAACCTGTATTTCACACCACAGCTGTCTCATGGGTGTGGTTTTGGGTTATTTTTTTTGGTCTGGTTTGGTTTGGGGAGGGTTGTTGTTTGTTTGTTTGCTTTCTGTTTGGTTTTTTTTTCTAGACTGTTGGCTGGACTTTCGCTTGAAAAGGAAAATTTTTTTTGCTATCTTGTGAAAACAGGATGGTTACTGAGAAGGTAATATATGCAATTTCTCAGCCTGGACACATGTTCTGTCTTGGTTGCCAGCCCCCACCTGTGTAGGTGACTCCTGCTCATATCAGCTTTACGTTTGGTTTAACAGGTTTGGCAAAGGCCCGTTGGCTGCTGATGGAGCAGGTGTAAAACAAGCAAACAACAATCAAAGCAGAGGTTTGAATTGAACTTGTGTGAGATTTGTTGGAAGAAGTAAAAGTACATCTTTCCAAATATGCAACCTGTAAAATCCATAAAATGCAATAGAGGACTAAAGAATTCCTATCCTAAAATACCTATTAAAAAGTTCCTTTACAGAAGGAAGCAGTGCTTTTCAGATATGACAACTTGCAGCAAACTTTTATCTTTTAATCCAAATAGACCAGAAATGTCAGTGTAACAATGCAACTGTCTTTATTTTTTCTTTCCTCTCCAAGCAGCAGGGAATTTGGCATTCTGATTGCAAATGCCCTTAAGTCAACCCTTAGTGTGCCACATCCAGTGGTGGTTGGGTAGGTAATGGCACCTGAAGTCCGTGACAGTTTATTTTTCCCTGAGGTTTCCATCCCCAGGATCTGAAAACTCCACTGATGAAATTGAATTTTTCAAGGGGAAATGCAGGATGAGCCCTTGTGGAAGACTCACATGCAGGGTAGGATGTTTCAGCAGCGACAGCCCCTGAGCTGTGAAGTACCACGGCCAGCTGGCAGATGGAGATGTTTGCAAGCACTGAAAGCAGAGCTTGGGAAGTGTAGGTCTTGCTTAGGCCTGCAGGCAGTTAGAGAAACAACTTGTGTGCTCAGCAGGACGCTTTCTCCCAAAATCTGGACAGGTACATGCCGTCAGCACTGGCTGGCGATGTCCACTGTATCTCCCTGTCACTGATGGGGACACGCTGCCAGACCACGTCAGCAGCCAGGGTCTAGGAGCTGCTGCTGGCTCCTTGTTCTGCAGACAATTCCCTTTTAGAGTGGGAAAGGTAAATGATGGTGGTGATGATGGTAGTGAGGGTAGTGATCATGGTGGTGATGCGCTCCCCAGCGGTTGCTTTTTGTCTTTACCTCACAGGTAAAGACGTATTTTGCAGGCTAAATGTTGAACACAGCAGCTTACACAGCTATATTCTCAAAGAAAATATTTTTCTTTGGACGTGTGCACAACCTGCTGCTCGTTCAATCCTCAAAGTACTGAAATCAGGACATTTTCACCAAAACATTCAGCTGAGTCTTTCCTGAGAAACAGAAGCCCTCACACGCCAAGCACTGCCCGTTTCCTTTTACCATACAACACACACTGCCCCAAGAACTACAAAGCTTATGCCTTTAGCATTTTTCCCCCAAAATCAAAAAGTACAGGGTGATGAAAAGAACGAGTGCTTCTGACTGATCAAACCAAGAAGTTTATTTCCACCTGTTAAAAGAAGTCTCTGTCTACCAGCAGAGTCCAACATAGATAAGCAGACAGACTTGACTATATTTAAATAAATTAATAGTTTATTTATAATTAAACTCAGGAAAAATGGAACTGTATACAACAAGAACTATGTACATGAAGAAAAAAGTCTTTCCACCACCTACCCCCAAAAATTCATCTGATTGGGGGGGATACTTCTGTCCTGAGAAACAGAAGTACTCAGAAATAAACGGGATGATAGTCTCTGGGAGGGAGTTCTGTTCTGCAGGTTGGGCAAGCCCTGGAATTCTCAAGGGCAACAGCGATGCACCGACTGCAGAAGAGATGGCCACACTGGGTTGACACAACCTGTCGGACACTTCGTATAATCTGGAAGAAAGGAAACCACAACATGTGTTGGGAGGAAAGGATTCGAGTTTGCTGCTCTACTGGCACCAGGAAAATAGGACTTGGAATATCTGGGATCAGTCCATTACTAGAATAAGGAACCCCCAGATCTGCCAGGGCCATCTTGGCAAGGGTTTCTCCCTCTATGTGCACCACCGAGAAGTGACTTGTGGAACTTCACAGCAAGGTCTGTGCTTCAAGCCAGCTGCCCATAGCACCCACATTAGTCAGCTGAGTTGCACAGCTCCCCCTCTGCCCTGTTACCCCTCCCACAAAGCTGAAAGGATGACAACATGTGGATCCTTACCTGTGAAAAAAAATCCATGCAGATCGGGCACCTTACAGCTCGTTGCCATTCCCTAGAGAGAACAGACCCAGAAAGAGCAGCCATTAATACCACTGGGCATCGAGGGTTACTCATATATAAAATGTCACATAATCATCTGACTGCACTGAGTAGCCACGATGCATTTCTTTTGAAGAACCCTGTATGTCTTTAACTCTCTCAGTTTGCTGCATGTAAGGAAGAGTTCAGATCTCCCTGTCCTAAAGGAAACAGTGTCTTGGTTTTCACTGGGAGAAAGATGAAGTCAGCCACCCTGCTCTAGGATTTGAAGTAATAGCAGGGAAACAAGTAAAGTGAAGCCTTCAAAGAAGCAAAAATCACTCTTTGGTAGGTCACGGGGCGTACGTACTCTGAAATTGCCAGTTCCTCGTCCAGTGATCTCCGTACTTCAGGCTCTACATAAGCTGCTTCATACTGTATGTCAGCTGCTCCATACTCCATGTCAGCCGCTCCATACTCTATGTCAATCACTTCAGATTCTACGTCAGTCACTTCAGACTCTACGTCAGTCACTTCAGATTCTACGTCAGTCACTTCAGATTCTACATCAGTCACTTCAGATTCTACGTCAGTCACTTCAGATTCTACATCAGTCACTTCAGATTCTACGTCAGTCACTTCAGATTCTACATCAGTCACTTCAGATTCTACGTCAGTCACTTCAGATTCTACGTCAGTCACTTCAGACTCTACGTCAGTCACATCATCTGCTGTTTCATATTCATCATAACTGCGCAGTACAGGGCTGTCCAACAGTTGCTGGCTTCTTGGTGTAAGATTTCTCCTTTGTTGTTCATACCCTGAAAGTTAATTTTGGTAAGTCAGATCTATCATTTACTCTCTCCTTTTCCCTGGAACTATCCTTCAAACACGTTATTGTAAATAGTTTGTAATGGGTCCTATTTGAATTGGACACTATTCAGCTGGGTTACAAGCAATCTCAAACCAAGTAGTTTCCTAAATATTAAGGCTGAACCCTTCCACACATTGAGACTATTCTGCTACAGAAACAAAACATTTGCTATATCAGCCTACAAACAGTTAAAACGTGACCTGAGAGATTCTCAGTGTCCGCTGAGATACACTACCTGTGAATAAATATGCCCTATAAAGGGAAGGTCTCTCACACTATTCTTACTAATACGGTCTGCTGTGATCCTATGGTAAGGAATGGCAACAATTGCTGTGTGATAGGGGAGAGAGGACTGCAGTCAAGTTCCCAAGGAGCATGGTGACGTAGCACATACACAAGAAAAAGGCTTGGCAAAACACAGAGTGCTTTGTTCCAAAAGTTTCAGAAGGGATGGAATAAATGCTTAAATCTAAAACTGTACATTCTGGAGCTGCTGTGCTTCCTTGTTGCTGTATGATGCTAAACTGTTGCCCTCTTTTTGTCTGTGTTAAATGAAACCTCCCCACTCAAAGGCACTTTCTATCAAACGAGTCTTATTGAGAACAGTCCTTGGAAATTATAAAAACACTTGAAGCAGTGTCTCCCTAGAAATTGCCATCATCTCCCTCCTCAGTTAAGGTAACTTGAAAATGGAGTTTTATCACCCAAGTTCAAAGGAGATCAATTTTGAGTGGCCTAGTCTAACATCTGAAGGATCAAGACCTGCTGTTCACTTTTGAATTCTCAGAAACCGCATGCAACAATGGTCTCTGCAACTCCAGTGTCCATGTAACAATAATCCAGCACTAATCAATTAAAATTACAGAAAATGTCACCAAATTAAAGTTCTTTCCTGCAAGAGTATTCAGCTACAACTTCTGTTGCAGGGATATTCCACTGTGTCTGATAGCAGCTAGCAGACACAGATGGGATCCATTCTCTAAGACATTAGCCAGAGGCTTTAGCACTGTCCTTTGCCTTCTGCTAAATGCAGTTTCAATCCCTGGTACTAGAGACTGTTGGAAAAGACAAATAAAAACTAAGGATTACATTTCGGACAATTCCATTAGCAACTGGAAAAAGTCAACTCACCTTCAAGAAGCTTCACCAATGCATATGGGAAGGGAGAGAAAAGAAAATACAATTAGAATCTGGTGTGCATGCCTGGTGTTCCATACTAACACCAGCTCAGTGAAGCAGTTACGACACAACAGGCAAAGAATGGTAGGCTATAGACTTCTTATTTTGGTTAAGGACATTCAAAGTAATAGTCAGTCAGCTGTTGTCCTGAAAACAAGCAAGAGGGTGCTGCTAGTTCTGCTCCCACTGATGGAACGGGGTAAAAACAGAGACAGCTTAATAACATCTGAACACCCTTCTACCACTTCCTCTGTTTCAGATCTCTAATTGGATTTGACCCAGAGGTGTAACTTTCCCTCTTTCTCTCCCAAATGGGAAAATTCAGCAGTGATAGCCATAAACAATCCATGTTAGATGAACGGCTGCTGAAAAAAGGAAACCACAACAGGGGTTTGGAGTAAAGAATTCAACTTTGATGCTGCACTGGCACCAGGCTAATAGGACTTGGAGTATCTGCAATCAGTCAGTATCTGCCAGAATAATAAGGAACCCACTGATCTGCCAGTGCCATCTTGGCAAGTGTTCCTCCCTGTGTGTACACCCCTGAGAAGTGACTTGGAGGGACGTGCTAGTTGGAGCTCCAAAGCAAGGTCTGTGCTCAAGCCAGCTGCCCGTAGCATCCCACATCAGCCAGCTGAGCTGTGCAGATCCCCCTCTGTCCTCTTTGCCCTCCCATAAAGCTGAAAGGATAACAACAGGTGGATCCTTACCTCTGAGTAGTCATCTATCCAAGTTGGAGAGGTAACAGGAGCTGCTGGCCGTGTGCTAGAAGAAAAGGACCAGAAAGAACACACAGCTATTAATTTCACAGTGCATGGAGGGTTACCAACACAGAAAGTGTCAGAAATTAAAACATCCCCTTCTCTGATCTAGCAACATCCCAGCCCAGCAACACAACCATTTCAAGAGCTTTTATGTACTTCAAGCATTTCAGTGTGTCCCAAGCCACAGTGTAAGATCCATTTGTTAATGACTTCACGAACAGAGAAGAAAGGTTTCTGCTGCATTTTGCAGCAGATTTTGTGGGCAACAACCTCTTTCAACCCTATGTCAGAAATTAGACTGTAGAAAGACACTTCATCTGTCACATACCCATCATTATCTCTTGGTTCCTCTTCATCATCACTTGTCAGTAGCACAACTGAATTATCTGCTGCACTGGAAACAACTGGGTTTCCAGCTGGGTGCTGCTGGTTCTGCTCCCACTGCTGCAATGGGGTCGAAATGGAGGCAGCTTAGAACTACCTGTAGCCCCTCCTCCCTGCTCCCCTCTTTCACTTCCCCAATTGGATTTAGGCTGGAGGTGTTTCTGTCCCTCTTTCTGCCCTAACCAGTCAAATTCAAGGGTGATATCCGTAACTACTCGTATGACATGAACAGCTGCTGAAGAAAGGAAGCCACAAGAGGGGTTGGAGTAAAGAATTCAAGCCTGGCTGCTGTGTTGGTGCCAGGCAAATAGGACTCAGATGTCTGCATTCAGTCCATTACTGCTAGAATTATCGGGAACCCACAGATCTTCCAGTGCCATCTTGGCGAGGGATCCCCCTCTACAGGCACCCCTGAGAAGTGACTTGGAGGGATGTGCTACTTGGAGCTTCAAAGCAAGGGCTGTGCTTCAAGCCAGCTGCCTCTAGCATCCCATCTTAGCCAAATGAGTTATGCAGCTCCTCCCCTGCTCCATTCCCCCTCCCACAGAAAATGAAAAGGTGGCAACATGTGGATTCTTACCCCTAGGAAGCAATCCTGGTACAGCACATTTGTAAGGGTAGCACTGGGTCTTGTGGTAGAGTGAAGAGAGCAAGAAAAAAATTCAGCTGTTAATTGCACCACTCATCAGGGGTTAGTGATACACAAATTGTCAGAAACCAAAACATCCCTTATTCTGATCTAGCTACATCCCAGCCCAGCAACACAATCATTCCAAGAACTTGTATGTACTGCAAGCATTTCAGTGTATCTCAAGC